TATAGCAAAGAGTAGCACATCAACACCTTTGTAGTCACAGAGTACAGAGCTACAGGGGGAAAACAAGATAAACAAAAAAAATAATAATAAAAGGGAAAAAAATTGGACCTAGCAGTGGGGCCCTGCTGCTACCCACAACTTGACATACGAATTTCCTTTGTTGTATTGTTGCCTAGCTCAAGAGCTTTTCAGGAACCCAGACTTTTAGCCTTTACTTGTCTTTGAGGATGATACTCTAACCTCGATCCCTCCCCCCCCCCCCTTCTCTCTCTCTCTCTCTCTCTCTCTCTCTCTCTCTTAAACACACACACACACACACACTCTCTCTCTCTCTCTCTCTCTCTCTCTCTCTCTCTCTCCTCCCTCTCTCTGTCTCTCTGTCTGTCTGTCTCTCTCTCTCTCTCTCTCTCTCTCTCTCTCTCTCTCTCTCTCTCTCTCTCTCTCTCTCTCTCTCTCTCTCTCTGGTATACCTGTGTCGTGAGTTAAATTCGAACACATCATCACATCTCAGAACTTCCGGTGATGGATGCCACAGACGCCAAAAATATACATGTGACCCACCCAGAAGCTGGAGCTTATACCAGTTGCAGCTTAGTGGAAGTTGGGTTTTAGATGATCTAATTGCTACTCATTCTATCAATTTGGGAATCTTTATTGTCTTAACCATTCAAAATTCAAGCATATTCGACTAAAACCCACGCAAAAAGACTGGTTTCTCAGCTGTGGTTGGACGAGGCTGACCTTTTGAAAAGGTGGAAAACCAAGAGTAAAGATTCTCACATTCAAGTGAGGTTTTTTCAGTTAATTGTGTGTCTGTGTGTGTGTGTGTGTATGTGTGTGTGTGTGTGTATGTGTGTGTGTGTGTATGTGTGTGTGTGTGTGTGTGTGTGTGTGTGTGTGTGTGTGTGTGTGTGGGAGGGTGGTGGTTATGCCCCCATCGATATATTTTAGATCGTTTAGGGAACGGGCTTACAACTCGGGCTGAGTGGGATACAACATCCCAACAGAAAGACCGAGATACTCGATATAAATTCACCACATACAGAAATCGAACTGGAGTCTCCTGCGTGCACAGCAAGATGCAGGATTATGTGAAAGTGTGCGTATGTGTGTGTGTGTGTTTGTGTGTATGTGTGTGTGTCTGCATGTATTTTTTCAGTCCTTTGGGGGTAAGGTCTGTGTGTGTGTGTGGGGGGGGGGGGGGGGGATGGAGAGAGATTATAGCCAAAAGTGACAACTAAGAAAGGAAATTCTTTCATAGTTTCATACTTTTTTCTTTCTCTCGACAAGAAAACGATTTCTTTCTTTCTTTTTTTCTTTTTTTTTTTTTTTGATTACAGAAGAACCCTGACTTCAAAGACCGTTTTCTGTGTAAGTTCTACCTCAGGTATTTTTCTCCAAAGCCCACCAGAGTCCAGCTACGTCTTTAAGGTTGATGAAATTTCGTCACAAACAGACTAAAGATAATCCCACGTATCCTGAACCGCTGTATATCATCAACTTCACACCCCCATCCTGGGCCCACCCTTTCCAGTCTATTCTTATTCTTTTTAAACCTTTTAAAGGCCTCTGGAATTCGTTTAGTGGATTGTTTTAAGTAAACAGGTGCCCTGCCACCCGCTCCAACATTTCAGCCCATTTTTTGCCCCTTCAGGTCCACTCAAGTAAAGTTGAGGTCTAATGTAAACTATTGGCTTTCCAGAATAACCGTGTTTTGTCCCACAGAATGAAGAAAAGTAATGAAGCCGCGCTGGCACTAAATTCAAGTATATCATAAATTATATTATGCGTCCGTGATGCAACCCTTCCCCTCTAAATTAACAAAACGAAACAAAACAATTAAGCAAAACAAATTGGAAAAACAACTAATATTTGAATTTGTCCTTTCAAATATCGGATTGTTTTTGCTCTTAGAATTGCCAGTTACTATTTGTTTCATCAGATCTTTTTTCCTTGGAGGGGGCTGAGGAGTGGTGGAATACGTGCTTTTCCCCCTTCTTTAGGAAAAAAATTGAGTTACATAGTCTGTCACCGACTAAGAGTCTATTTCGGTTTATAAGTTATGTAATGGCACTCTCCATTTACCCAGTTCCTACTCTGAAAAGTTCATTGAACCTTCTGTTTTTCCCTTGTATTTCTAGAGTTTGTTCCGATCGATTTTTCTTCTTTTTTTTTTTAGTTGCACGTTCTGCCAGGAAGAGTTCCCCCGCGAAGCTCAAGTCTAGGTAAATTATCATACGGTCTGACCCGGTTATTCTTCTACATTCTTCACCTCTTGTCTTGGACTGGCTGTGTAATTGGTCCCGTGCCGGTGGCAATATCGCCAAGCGCTTAACTACTGCGGAATGGAATCTGACTTGTTCCCACGACATGTGGTCTGTTCTAAGCTGGAGACATGAACTCTCGAAAGGGAGCTTTGAGAATGCGGTTAGTCAGAAACCCCTTTCCCCTGACTCCTTCCCAATCCCCCATTATTAAAAGCACAACATAGAGAGACAGAAAAGCACCCTTAAAGAAATTAACAATTAAAAAGGAAAAAATGGGCAAACAGTTTGTGGTTCTACATGTCCTGTGAGGAGAGGCGATTAAAGAGAAAGATGAGAGAGAGACAGACAGACAGACAGACAGACAGACAGAGAGAGAGACAGAGACAGAGACACACAGAGAGAGAGAGAGAGAGAGA